AAAAATTATTTTTAGGGGTAGCTCAAGGCCCTCAAAAATTTGACGGGTCCCTAATATTTTGAAAAAAAAACTTTTTCTAAAGTATGTCAACCTGGTACTCAAAAGAAGCGATATTGTATAAAAACTTCAAAAATAATAATCATTTTACATAAAAAACATGCCTAAAAAAAATTATTCTCAAAAAACCTGAAAATATTGACTTTTTTTATTTTCAGCTTAAAAACAATAGTTTTTATGCATTTATACCTAAAAAAATTATTTTTATAAAAAATTATTATCATTTTTAAATTTTTTATATAATTTTGCTTATTTTGAGTACCAGGTTGACATACTTTAGAAAAAGTTTTTTTTTCAAAATATTAGGGACCCGTCAAATTTTTGAGGGCCTTGAGCTACCCCTAAAAATAATTTTTGTTCAAAAAAATTTTAAACCTAGTGTTTTTGCATTAGATAAAACACATTTAGGGGGTGTCAGCAGGTTTTTCTCAAAAAAGTTGTTTTATGGACCACCCTAGTAGAGGTGAAATATTATTAGCATTGTTTCTGAGAATATGAGCCAAAATACTTGCTATAAAGATGAGTATTAAAGGGATCCCAAACTCCCGACACATGTTGTGTTCATATTAAAGATAATGTTAAAAAAAAAATTTTGAACCAAGTTTTTTTGATTAAAAATAAATAATGAATGCATACCGTGAAAAACAAATGTTGTTGTTTTTGCCGAAGCTCGCCTTCTCCATTTTTTTCAATAAATCGGAGTCTTCAAATTATGCGTGGCAATCTACAGACTTTGGCAATTCCTTTGAAGCGCATTTAATTCATAAAAGTTTTAGTATTTGACGTCAAGGTAGACTTTTAACAAAAGGAAAGTGTAATTAAACTAAGCTGCGTTTTTCTACTGTAGTATTTTTTTAATATATAGCAAAACAAATTTATTTGTATTATTTTTCTAAACATTGCAAAAAAAAATTTGTAAAAAGAAAAAATGATAAATTATTTTTATTTTATAGGAGCAACTTGTTTTTTACAGATATCTTAATAATTTTTCGATTTATATATCTTACTTATATTTCTTTTGTTTTTAAATTAAAACAAATATTAAAGCTTTACTTACGAATCTTATGATTTTCATACGAGTGTTTAACATTATATAGAACGTTATGTATACGTTCTATCATTTTTGTGCAAGAGAGCGCAGTATTATATATTCTGAATCTTACTTATTTTTATTTAAACAATCGGAACTTTTTTCTAACTTCTCTGGTTATTTTTACGCTATGATATTTTTTGTTTTCCCGTTGAAAAAAAGTATTAACAATTAATTTCATAAACCGACAGTATTAATTAGAGATGAGTTGTTAACTTTTTTTATTATAAAAATTTTTTGATTACGCTGATTTATTTTAAATTGCTAAATTTGCTAAATTGGATACGGATAAAAAGGAAATATCATTTTATTTTACATTTGATTTTTGATAATGAAACTTTTAAAATGTTGGCAACTCCATACCAATTAGAACCTGTTAAGGTTATGAAAAAAAATACAAGAATACACTAAACAATACAGTTGACAGTAGTATCAGATATGCAAATTCGTGAAAGGATTTATGAGATCTTGGTTTTGCATTAAAAGTACAATTAATAACAACAAAAATCGGCATTATAAATTTTGAGTATTAGTTTACTGTTCAATATTTTATAACCATCAAATAAAAACATTAAGTTTGTATATTTTCGCCCGTTTTATACAACTAATATTTAACAAAAATACGGACAAATTATTTTTATATAACGCAATAATTAACACATTAATTAATGGCAATAGTTCAAGATAAATGGTAATTTAAATTGTCAAAATGTCATAACGCGCAATGAAAAACATATTATATTAGGTATCTCCCAATTTGTATCGTATTTGGCATTTGTCTCTTCACATGAAAAATTTTAAAACACAACAAATACAAATTTTCAAGCAATTTTCTCTTCCAATTTTCATTTATTCAAAGAAAAGTTACTATTAAACTTTTATTTCTCTCATCTAAAAAAAGAACGAGTGACGCAAAAAAAAAAAAAAAAAAAAAAATTCTATACAACTCTTTTTTTCATTCGAAGTTTAATTACGCGAAACTTTTCTTTCTCTTTTGTTCTACTCTTTTATAAAAAGAGCGAGCGATGAATTAAAAACTTTTCTTTCTTAACATAGATTTATACTTAGAGATAAAATTAAATTAGAAATAAAGCAATAATGAACAAAGCAACTAACAGATTAATCTGGGACTATTTTTAATTTAATGAAAATAATCAACATATTCAACAGCAATTATCAAATAAACAACACAATATCGCATAATTTTAGGGGCTTTTTATTTTTATTGCTTAGTCGTTCTAAATAATAAGTAAATTTAGTTCAATATTTACAGTTGCAATATAATAAAGAAATGATGTTTTAATGTTGAACTTTTTATTTAATTATTTATTTTTTACCTACATATGTTATAAAAACTTTTAAACCCCCGTCATTAAAATAATTTGTTTTAAATATATTTCAAAATGATTATTCAAACTAATTTTTTTCGCTTGACTTCCCGAACTTCATGCAAAGCAAATTGAGACGAAATATTATCTAACCAAATAAAAATGCTTTTACTAATTTTTTGCGGGTAATTAATGTAAAACATTTTTTGAGTCTTGATTGAGATAATAAATATTCATAATTTATAAACATTAAATATATAGCACAATAACAATTTATAGCAACGAAGCAGCATAAAATATTTAAGGTTTTTGATATCTTTTTAAATATTAAAAGTAGGAAAAAAAAAACTAAACAAATAACTAAAAAAACTTCGACTAAAAATAAATAAAAATGTTTCCAGAGTTTCTTTTGTTAAAAGTCTACCGTGACATCAAATACTAAAACTTTAATAAATTAAACGCGCTTCAAAGGAATTGCCCAAGTCTGTAGATTGCGACGCATAATTTGGAGACTCCGATTTATTGAAAAAAAATGGAGAAGGCGAGCTTCGGCAAAAACAACAACATTTGTTTTTCACGGTATGCATTCATTATTTATTTTTAATCAAAAAAACTTGGTTCAAAATTTTTTTTTTAACATTATCTTTAATATGAACACAACATGTGTTGGGAGTTTGGGATCCCTTTAAAGGATTTAAAGCTTGGAAAAGTATGTAAAATAGTTTTTTCAAGGTGCTATTTGGAGAATTACCATCTTTTATAAACTAAGGTACCTGAAATGACTGTGTCTTAAAAGTTTTTGTTATTACTATTTTTTTTTTTTGACATCTTTGCTTCCAACAAGGCTGCAAGTAACCACTATTAGAGTTGGAAGTTACTGGAAGAAAAATGATGAAGTTTATAAAACAAGATAACAATTGATTTGAAATCTTAAAAGATTGCAAATTATATGAATCAGGAAAAGCAAGATTTGCAGTAGAAGCAAATTCCAAAGAACTGATGTTCGAGGAAAAAAACTAGATGAATTAGAGTTTTTGAAGCATTTAGGAAGTCACAGAAAAAGGGTAAGACTTAATTGAATGACGAGTAATATAAGAAGTAACATGAGAATGAATTTTAGCAGATTGCACAAGAGACAGTAGTTCTTTAGAGCAGTGCATTTTTTTTTTTTTTTTTTTTTTAGAATTGTAGAAAAGAGAAAGAGAAGCAACATTACGACAATGTGATATTAGTTAGAGGTTGGCTGCAAGAGCAGGTCTAATTATGTTTACAATGCATTTTTGCACCTAGTCTAAAATGGGAATCATTTGAAGATCTGCCCCAGCTATGGCAGCAGTATTCCATACAAGAACAGATTTGAGATTTATAGAGATAAAGAATAGAATCCGGAGTAAGAAAGTGTTGAGCACAATAAAGAGATGCAACCTTAGCAGATGCTGGTTTTGTAATGGATTTTATACATCGTGTTCGAGAAAAATCGGAAGTAAGAGTTAATCCTAGAAGATGAAGGATAGATAACTCATTGAGTACATTACCATTCATAAATATAGGAAAATCTAATGTATTGCGATAACAATTGGCTGAAAAAAATTGGGTTTTATCTGAATTAAAGTTCACCAGCCACTGTGAGCCCCATGCTAGAGCAAAAGTGAGATCTTTTTCAAGCTCAAATGCAACCTCCAAGCAATCAGATAGTATCGGCTTCTTATTAAGACAAGAATAAATGGTGATATTAGCGAACAAAAAAAAAAGGTGGGGTACCTTAGATGTGAGAATTTCTGGAAGATTGTTGATGTAAGTTAAAAAGAGTATAGGGCCAAGGGTAGAACCTTGTAAAGGATAGAACTTTGTAATGCAAATTAATTCGGATTGTTGTTATTGTATGCAACCTTATATGTTAATTTCATAATCTTAAAAGCACAGTTGAACTTGAGTGATTGCAGTAAATGCAGCAGTTGATAAAATACCTATGTTTGTCATAGGAAAATTTAAATTCCCTCTCTGTTTCAATGGAGTTGAACCCTAACATTGCAGATACTGAAAGCTGAATAAAAGCTGCATGGGTAGTGTTTTGTTTGAAGATTTAATACAATATTTACAAAGGTGAAGAAAGTTGCACTTATTATAGATAACTGCCAAACACATTGGAAAATTATTATTCTAAAATCTAAGGAGCTCTTTTTCTAACCACTGAATATAAAATCCAAACAATGGAGAAAAGAGTTTTTATGCTTTTTGAAATCTTATTGCGAATCTTTAACTTTGCAAAGATTGGTTTTAGCTAAGTTTCTTCTTTCATACATGTCTACTTAATAAGAGATAGAACAAGTGAAAATACAATTTGCAATTGCAGTTTTCATCAATTTTTGTAAAAAAAAAATTGTTGTGTACAAGTTTTTTGATATATCCAGTTCAATATGTAAAATTAAATTTTGAATATGCTATTTTTGTTACTATAATTGTTATTATTTTTATTGTTTTTACTATGTTGCCAATTTATGATTATTAATAATGTTATTTTTCAGAGATATTACTGCTGCTGCAAAAGCTGCAATTAGTGGTAATAAAAATGCTCTCGATTTGTTTGACATGGAAAAGAGTTCAAGTTTTAGTAATATTGAAGAAATACAGCTGTTTATTGCTACAAAAGATGGTATGACTGACATAAATGTTTTCAATTTACTAATAATTTTACAATTGTTGTTAATATCTGTGTGCAATAAGAAAATTGAAATAATTAAGAAAACTAATTTTTTTAAATATTTTAAGCTATGTATTATTTAAAAGGCTTGTACATTATTCAAACAGTGGATTATTCATAATCATACGCTTTTTACTAGGTTTTTTTTCTCAACATCTTCGCTTCCAACAAAGCTGCAAGCAACCACTATTAAAGTTGGAAGTTACTGGAAGAGAAAAGATGAAGTTTATAGAGCAAGATAACTATTGACAGACAACTTAAAAGATTGCAAATTATAAGAATCAGGAAAGCATGATGAAGGACGCGAATTCCAAAGAACTAATGTTGGAGGAAAAAAACTAGACAAATAAGAGTTTTTGGACCACTAAGGAACAGTCACAGAAAAGGATGAGACTTAATTAAATGACGAGTAATATGAAAATAAATTTTAATAGATGGCACAAGAGATGCTAGCTCCTTAGAGTAGTGCCTATAATAGTATTTCTAGACAAGAGAAAGAGAAAGATAGCCTCAACCTCTCCACCTCCATCTAATGTACAATAAAAACTATCGGTTATTACTGTTAGTAAATCAGTAATAGAATGAGAAGATCGAAATCCATATTGATGATCAAAAAGTAAGTTATTAGATTCAAGATGAAAGATTAAGTGTTTGTTAATAAAGATTCAAAAACCTTGCTTATGATAGGTAAAAGACTAATGGGATGGTAGTTAGGCGTCAAGAACTCAACTGATCTTAACTCTTGGTCAACAACTGAGTGTGTAACCAAGGTATTTTTCTTCTTAAGTGGAAAGATATGCCATACTTTTTTTAGTATGCTCAACTTGATTTTTTCCATATCTGACTGTCATCCCAATATACTTTCTTATGATAGACTTCACAGATTTTTGATTGAGTTTTCGAAGGAGAAGTTTTTGTCTCTAAAAAAAACATGTTACTAAATACAAGTCTCTAAAAAAAAACATGTTACTAAATGTAAAGTTTTGGTATAATAGATAATAAAAAAAGTTGAACCTTATTTGACATTAAGAGTTTGACTGACTGCTAAGCTTCAGATGGAGTTTCTATAACATCATCAATGCCATCATTAATGGATGAATGAAAAAATGTTGAATGCTTGAGTCTTTTTGTTTGTTCAATAATTTCATTATTTGATGAGAACAATTATGGGGACATTATCAGCCCTTCAAGAACTCATTCTTGCTTGACTCATCATTCTTCGAAGTCTTATCCTTTTACTGTACTGTCCCAGCATGCTCTAAAAACTTTTTCCCTGCACTTCAACTCTTTGAAACCTTCTCCCATCTTCATGTTTTCTTGATTCATACAATCTGCAACCTTTCATGTCTTCTGTCAACTTTTCCCTGCCTCTTTATGTCTATTCTTTTTTCGTTTTTTTTTTCTAGTAACTCCTAACTTAATATTGGTTGTTTGCAGCCTTGTTGGGAGTAAATCAGATTAAATTAGAAATATATATATTCAGGAACCAGAAAATGCTTGAAGAGTTATTTTGATAGCTGGCATCATGCCATTGAATGTTGTCAAAATTTTCAATGCACTGTTTCATTGAGTTCTGACGTTGAAAATCGAAATTTAGATTTTATTTCTAAAAGATTAAGCGTTTTCTTCAAGCTCTCTGACTCATTTAAGATTATGTTTGAATTTTTTTACAACAGTTTGCACATTTTCGAGATTTTTTATACTAGACAAAGCAGGATCATACTCAAGTGCTGACTCATCTCTATTTTCTTCTTCAGAATTCAATTCAGTCTTTGTCAGAATCAATGCTGAAGGTCATTAATTTAATTTTTCAACTTTGACATTGTTTTAGCATCACATTTATCACCGATTATGATCACTTTGATTGTAAGTGTTGGATCCAAAAATATGGATGTTCAAAAATTTAATTTGTTTAAATTTTGCCTTATCACTCACTACAAAAATTTTTTTCTATTGGATTTTAACAGTGTTATTTCTTTAATTACTTTGTCCTTCACATACGTTACTAAGCTATAAATTGTCTGAGGAACTTTTTCAACATTTTTTTGGGACCTTCAAACTTTCAATCAGCTTTTGCACTAATCGATTCACAATTTGGTTAAAACTAAGTCCCATCTATCTGATATCTATCTAAGTCCCAGATCTGATGCTAGCTTGGCAACACGTTTTTTGAAGTTTTACTTGAGTAAGATTTAAGTTACGTAGATTTAATTATGTAACATTTTTAAATGTATTTCTATCAGAGCTATATTTGAAAATGGATCCTTATGAGACAATTTATACTGAGGGCTCTCCTTTAATTAAAACAATGCAACTCTTCTCTTATTAAAAAATTTTTTTTGATGGTTTTCAATATATTTTAGTAGTTTCAGTTTTAATATTTTTCACATTCATACTCTTACTATTCTGAGACCAAGATTCCATGATTGAAAAATGACTGAGGTTTCCGAGGCGAGCAAGTTCTGAAAGTATATTCCAATGTTTTTGGATTTACACCACTGCAATTATTTTTTTAATATTGCTTTCTTAATTAGGACTTTAATTGCAATAGCTTTAATTTGAGTGCGTATACTGCTGTATCTTTTAATATTAATTGCTCTTGTTAAATAAACATATTTTTTTATATTATTTTTTTTATAATCGTATGATATTTTGAAAGATACACTTTTAATTCTCATCATTTTAAGTTTTTTTAAATTAAATTTTCAAATTAGCTCAACTTGTTTTATAAATTTTTATTATAGGTAATGTTTACTTCTTGGATGAAAAAGGAAAATGCAAATCGTGTTTTAAAGTGGATTCTTCTATTTTATATTTACTATACTACGAGAATCAAGATGTTGTTGTTACAATTACTGATGCTTTATTCCTGACTCAGCATTCATTAAAAGATGGAAACTACAAAGAAATATCTAAGGCAAACTTTAAATATTCAGTTTGTTATTTTTAATATAAAGTTATAATTTAGACAGCATAATTATTTAATCTAATGTAATTACTAAACTTTGTGAACTATACTATTTTTATAAATAAGACTTCTATTATATAGTTTTGCTTAAATTAAATAAATTTGCATGATTAATAGCATTGATTATATAAATAGTATTACAAAAGTTTGCATAAAAAAGAAGTATGCATAAATATAAAGTGTGCAGAAAAAAAGTAGTCCTCAGAGATACTGAGAAAAAATAACGTAAAGTTGTAGAAGAAATAAAGAAATGTTATAAAATGTAGAAAAAAGTTTGAACATGCAGAAGACATCTTTTAAATGCTTGGTTAAAGGTAAAACAAGCTGTATATAACAAATAACTTTGAGATGTTTGGTTTCAAGGACAAAAAAAAAGTAGTGTTTTGTGTTAAAAAGCCAATGGTCAGGAAAAATAAGGATGCCTTCAAATAAGTCTGAATTAGGGTTAGATTAAAAAATACTTTCAAATGGAGATAAAAATGATGAAAAAGGTTTTGAACCAGCAGAAGTTAACTAATGGTGAATATATATAAATATAACTTGTAACCAAGTGAAATCACTTATTTAGAGGGTTTAGTAAAGCAAGGCTTTTTGTACTTTTGATGTATTGGCTGTGTTAAAGGCTTCTAGAGATGTGGGTATACAGTATTTTTGTAAAAAGTTAATCTAAATTCCATTTTAAAAGTTTACAAAAGTTTTTGTTTTAGATTTGCATAAAAAAAAATTTCTGGGATGTTCATAAAGTCAAATACTCATCTATGCAATATACAGATTAGTTTTAGGCCTGGAAAAGGAAAAGCAGATGTAATATTTATTGTTAGAGAAGTTTAAGAAAAGTTTTTAAGGAATAGTTGTACTAAGTAAATTTTTACTAAGTTTTACTACTTTTACTAAGTTTTACTAAGTAAATTTTTGAAGAATAGTTTTCATTATTGAAAAGACAGAATGAAAGCAAAAGGGTTTTGGATAAACATGAAGAAAACAAAAGTTATGAAAGGGTTTTGGATAAACATGAAGAAAACAAAAATCAAGAATGAGCAAACAGAAAATTCTGGAAAGTAATTAAGTGAAATTGAAGCAAACCCCATTGTTTATAGTGTTTGTAAGCAGTGTGCTTTTAATATTGTTGGTTTTGAGTTTTAAAATATGTGTATTTAATGAATAGAGCGAAAAATTTAATGAATAGAGGAAAAAATTTAATGAATAGAGGGAAAAATTCAAAAAAAGAGATTTAAATTATTAGTGGTTGAAAGTTTGAGTGTTGGAATTTATTAGTTATTTTATAGATATAATTTGATTAGCTTGTAAGGCAGAAGGATCCAAACAATTTTTCAAATTTCAATTGAAAAATTATTTGAATAAGAGAATTTTAGAAGACTAAAATTCTTTTGTTCTAATAGATTTCTTTTTAAAAAAATTTCCTAAAAGCAACTTATGTTTTTATAGAAAATGTTCGATCTTGATATCACTTTAAATAAAATATAAAAAAATGGTATTACTTTTTAATATTCTATTCAAGATTTCTTGTTAAAATAATTTTTAGTTAGAAACTTATATTATGTGTTAACAACATTTAAGATATAATTAGAAACAATTACATGGCTAAATTTTGCGTTTCTCTTAATATATTGAGTAAATTTAATAGTTGAGTTACTGTAAGTTACCCAAATAACTTAACTGGTTGTTTTGATTTAGTTAAAAGGTAAATTTACTGTGATGTACTTTATCCATATATAGAAATCAAACTAAATATAATATTAAAATAGCATTGGCTTCCACGTAGAGATAACAAAAATATTTTTTTAAAGAAAAAACTAATTGCTAAGGTGTGAAAAGCAATCGCAATACGCTTAATTCAAGCCCTGTACATGTTATTACCACATTTTGTATTTATTTATTAAAACTTTACATTTTATCGGAACAAATTAAAGCAATATTTGAAAGTAATGGATATAATTGAGTAACTTTTCTTGTTATTGTATATTTTAAAACATTTTATACATAACCCTTCATCACAATCCAGACAGTATTATCTTGTCTTTTTTTTATATTCTTACTTAAAGACCTACTCAATGTACTTTGCATTGGTGAGTAAGCTTTTCTTTACTAGCCCTATGAGGTATTGGTTCCAATAAATGTCCACCAACCAAACAATGGCAACATTAAAGATCTGTTGGCATCCTGAAAGTTGCTGTTTTATTCCAATAATTTTTTCCACAAGTTTTAATCTAAACTGCTAATGTGTTTTTGCACTTCCCTGCTTTGTTTAGATAAAAATGTATTCAGAGTTGTTTGTTTTAGAAGGTGCAAAAACACTTTATAATAATATTTTCAGCACTTTTTTATCACAGGATAGTTAGTTAGGTGTTAGTTAACTCTATTGATACCTCCCATAGAATTATTGTAATTGTTGACTATTTTCAGAATTTTTTTAACAGCTTGTCTTTTTGCTATTTCTACCATTTATGTTGATAAAAAGGTGATGTCTTTTTTGTCCTTTCATATAACCTTTTACACTTCGGTATGCACAAACTTCTTTCTTTAATTTCTTCTGTAGAACTTTTTGAACAACTTTTCTATTTAATCTCATAGTTTTAAATGTGTCAGTTTTTATTTATAAGAAAATATTAGTATTAGGAAGGTATAAAAAATGTTTGCAGTCGGACAGTCCCATGTTCAAAATAGGTTTCATTAGAGCTATTACAATTTGTTAACCCATTTGATAGTCTGTATAACTTTTCAAATAATTTTCCTTTTCCGGAATAAATTCAGATTTGGATTCACATAATATCACTGTCATATGTCTGTTATTATCTGATTTACTAATAAATATATTATTTTCACGTTTATGATCTGCACAAAATACTTTAGGCTAAAAATAAAATCAAACTGCTTATTTATATAAGTATGAATATTGCACACATATTTTTTATTTACTAATTTGTAAATGAAATTTTAACAAAATTACAAAATATAAAATAACAACACTCATTGATAAAACACTTAGTAACACTACAAAACACTTAGTAACACTATAAAAAAAGTGAAACAAAAAAACTAAAGTCTTGTGGTATATACTGTTATCTTCATGTGTTATGTTATCTCAATGTGTTATGTCATCTCAATCATTTCAAACAACAAACTGCGCTACAAGTTAAAACAAGATCTGCCTGAATAAAACTAATATTTTGATTGTAAGAAAAAATGTGTATTTAAACATATTTCATACAATCAATAAATATGATTATTTTATTTTAAAAAAACAAATCGAATACATAAATTTATATATTTTTATAAAATATCTTTTACAAAATTTTTTTCTTTATTTTTTTTAAAATACTTTTTATAAAAGATAGATTAATTTAAAATTTATCCTTTGACTATTGAGGAAACAAATATATTATTTTATTTTTATTTGTAATAATATTTATTACAATAAAAAATTATTTTATTTTAAACTGTTATAATTTTTTACTAAATCACACAAATTTTTTGGGAATAAATTAAAATTATACTATCGAAAACATTATTTATTGATTTTGGCAGAAAAAATAAAGTTAAAGAAAGTTCTATGATGGCATCATATACTGAAAATGTTATAAATTAAACCACATGAAAAAAATTATCAAGTCTGTGGATTGCAATGTATATTATATAATCGCTGAGAATCAAAAAAAGTAGAAGGCAAGCTTTGACTAAAACAACAATTCTACTTTTACTGAGACGGATTTATTATTTAATTTTAAATCAAAAAAAATTAGCCCAAATATTTTTTTTAACATTTTTTTAAATAAGAATACAACTAGGATTCCTTTAATGTTATACAAGTTTGAAATAAATTTGTTTTTCAGGTTAAGCTAAGTGGTCAGGCTAGCAGTTTGGTTGTGACTTGGGCTGGTTCTGGAATTATAGCTATATCTTCCAAAAGTCATGTAGTTCGGTATTAAAAGCCTAAAATTAATATATTTATTATGACATTCTAAATATTTATTTGTACTATATTGTATTAGTGTTCAAACTCTTTTTGTAATTATTTGTAACTATATTTGTTTATTGATTTGTAACAAAAAGAAAATTATTTTTTTTATTAAATTATTGCAAAATTACTTTATATTTGCTATTGTTTAGTCTTTTAGATATAAGAACTGATCAGAATTTTGTGTTAAACCTTGATAAATCATTTGGGTTTAAAGCCAATGAGTGTATCAATTTTATAGCATTCAGTCATTCTCAAGGTAAATATAATTTGACTAATTAAATTTAAATTATTAATATGTGTAAAAAAGTTTTTCAAAAACAAGTCAACTTGTGTCTCAAATAAAGCATCTTTTAACTAAGAAAATAAAAATGCATTTTTTAAATTTTTTTGGTAATTATTTTTTTCAATGTTTTTAAAAATACTTTAGTTGAGATCCAGATTGTTCTATAAGAACTTTTTTTTTGATAATATTCAGAATTTTTAAATTTCATTTTATCTGCTATTACAAATAAATTAAAAACAACAAAACTAATGTTTATTTTAATTGTAAATAAATAATTAAAGTAAAAACAAAGAAAACATGCGTTTTATTTAAATTCTGATAAATAAATAAAAAAACATCAGCAATGGCAAAACAAAGTATTAATTAATTTTTTTATTAAGATAGTTAAAATAAAAATAGAATAAAGAACTTTAATTAACCTACATACTTATAAATACTTATTCTTTCATTCTAAAAAAAATATTTTTTAAATTCCTGTTAAAATAATTAAAATAAAATAGCAAAACAAATTTTTTATTTAAATTCCAAATACAAAACTATTTAAATTGTAAACAAAACAAATGAAATAAAAATGGAAAAACAAACGTATTATTAAAATAAAATTGGTAAAACTTTTGTTCATTTTTCTAATTTTTAAGCAAACATCGAGGTTTGAAAGAAAAGTCATCAAACTTGACATTTGTTTTTAAGTCAATTTTATGCTAAACCTTTGCACATTAGTTGATTTGTCTAAGCTTGATTCAAAATTTTGTGCCAACCTAATGCCAACCTAAAACAGTTTTAGGTCAACTATTTTTTGCCAACTTTATTTTTCCTAATTCTGAAAGCGTGATGTCATACTAAAATATCCTGCTGTAGGAGGTTTTAGTACATATACCGACTAAGTTATAGCCTGCTGCTGCTACATTGACTGAGGGTTTGGGCTGGGGCAGCAATCTTACTTTTTACTTCTCTTGGAAATTTTTCAATTAATTTTTGAATTGTTGCTATGTAAATATTATTCCATTCTTTTTGTAGAATGTTTCATAATTGGGTTTTTGATGTTAAACAATCAATTCTTACTTTTCTATTCAGTTCAGTAACTAATAAAAATAATGTAAAGGACCTCACAATTAACAAGCAATATCTCAGTTGTGTAAAAACATACCTCTTACAAATAATATGATGGCCTCATGGTAGGAAATATCACACAATGAATTTTTAAATAATGAATAAATTAGTATTTTAGTAGCTTTTTTTAGTAATAAACAGTCATAATAAATTTGAATAAAATAAAATAATGAATAAAACAACCTGCACAAGCCCTGCAAATTTTGTAGGCATCATTTTCCCATAGTTGACTTTCACAACTATTATCTATTAGTCTTTTACACAGCACACACTGCACACATTTTTTTCCAATATTTTAATATTTGAACCTTTTGAAACCTAACACTTAGCAAGGATCATGTTTACTGTACAATGTATAATAATAATAATTATTCCATAATAATGTTTAGGGTCATTATCGAGAATCAAAGTAAAATTGCTGCCAATTAATCAAAGTTAAAAAAGAATTGATTTGTTTGTAAAAAATCTCTGTAATGTTCTTTTCTCATTATCTCATCAGTTTTATGCAAATCTCCCACTCCAACTAAAGAAAACCTCAAACTATGACAGAGCCCCCATCATGCTTTATTGCTGGAGTGAGACATTGGCTTAACATTTTTTCTTCAGCAGATCTTCTAACATCTTCTAATACTCTTCTCTTATTTCTATAAACTTTTTTTATTTTGATACATCTGTTCAGTACTTGTTTCTAAACATCAAGTAAGTACTGCTACTCATTTTTCTATACTTATTGGCTTGCAAGTTCAAAGATTAATTTTTTAAAAAATATTTAAAAAAATAAATTTTAAATTTTAAAATTAAACTAAAAATATAAAATACATTTCTTTTAAATTATGCACTTGAAAATGTTCACAAACAAAAGTATTTAAAATAACTGGAAATAACACAGTAAACGAAAGAGATATCTATCAGGTGGTGAAATAAATAGATTCTGGTTTGTACAGAAATATCTATTTATTAGTTTAGATTCTAACAGTATCTTATCTAACAGTACTAATCTTAATCTATCCGTTGAAGCTGATGAAATTCAGCACCTTTTAATCTTTAATTACTCAAAAACATATAATTAATATTGGTATTAAATATTGGTTATCATTGCTATTGGATTAAAATCTCAAAAAAAAAAAACTTTTAATATAAAAAAGTTTAATCATTATCATTATGTATTAGTAGCTTATACTGACCATTCCAGATTTCCAAATCAACTCTAAGGTAAAGAAGGTGGTTTTAGAAAATTTCTATATAATAGAATTTTTCCTAATTATTATATTTCAGAGTTCTGAATATAGATAGTTCTAAATTTAAAACACTCACAAAATACTGGTTTTGATTTAAAATATATCTAATAGAATAAGGAAGATACAGATTTCGTGTGACAATTTTATTTCATATAACAGTTTTGTTGCTTTTCAACTCAATATAAATTGAGTTGAAAAGCAACAAAAATGTGATGACTTATTGCATTTTCTGCAGGTACTTCTTTATAACTTTCTTGGGTACTTGCTGTCTGTTTTTATGGACAACCTGACAATAATAAATAAACTTAAAAAGGCAGGCTATTTTGTAAAATAATTAAATAATCCAAGCTCTAAAATTCCAAGTAATTAAAATTAATAGTTAAGTTTATTAAATAACATGTTTAAATACTTTAAATGATATGTTTAAATACTTTAAGTTTTACGTTTACATTATTGTATAGCATGCGCATACATTAACTGGGGGATAGGGTTTTTAGGTGTAAATTTTTAAGTGCAAATGAATGTCAAAATATTGTGTGGTTCAGAGTCATGGTTAAGTGCAATCAACTTCCTTTTTTTGTTATTAAAAATGAGCATGATATGTGTTTGCTATTCTAAATTACCTAATTTTTCAAAATCGACCCCCTCCACCTAACAATTTACATGCACAGGTCTGTATAATAATGTGTTTTTTTTTTTTTAAACATCTTTGTTTCCAACAAGGTTGCAAGCAACTATTAATTAGATTTGGAAGTTACTGGAAGAAAAAAAGATAAAGTTTATAGAAAAAGAGAACGATTGATAGATGACTTAAAAGATTGCAAATTATATGAATCAGAAAAAGCAAGAAAAAGGAAGCAAATTCTAAAGAACTGGTGTTAGAGGAAAAAAACTAGAGGAATAAGAATTTTTGGAGCACTTAGGAACAGTCACAGAAAAAGGATAAGACTTAATTGAAGGATGAGTAACACGAGAATGAATTTTAGTAGATGGCACAAAAGACGCTAGCTTTAGAGCAGTGTCCATTATAGTATTTGTAGAAAAGTGAAAGAGAAGCAATATTACAACAATGTGATAATGGTTGAAGGTTCGCTGCAAGAGCAGGTCCAACTATGTTTACAATGCGTTTTTGCACCTTGTCTAAAAGAGAAAGGGCATTATTAGAAGATCCACCCCAGATATAGCAACAGTATTCCATACAAGGCTAGATATGAGATTTATAGAGATAGAGAATAGAATCCGGAGTAAGAAAGTGTCAAGCTCGATAAAGAGATGCAACCTTAAGAGATGCTTGTTTTGCAGCGGATTTGATACATGGTTTCCAAGAAAGATTGGAAGTAAAAGTTAATCCTAGAAGATGAAGGGTAGGTGACTCATCGAATACATTACTGTTCAATAATATAGGAAGTTCTAAATTATTGCGATAATGATTGGCTAAAAAAAATTGAGTTTTATCTGAATTAAAGTTCACCAGCCACTGTAAGCCCCATGCTGTAGCAGAAGTGAGATTCTTTTCAAGCTCAAATGCCCCTTCCAAGCAATCAGAGAGTGTTGGCTTCTTATCTTGACAAGAATAAATGGTAATATCATCAGTGAACAATGCCACTTAGATGTGAGAAATCTGGAAGAAAAGTTACTTTGAATACCACGAATGATAGGTTTTGAGAACTTGGTGATGACAATGGTTTTTTGTGTTTTATAGTTTTTGGTACTTTATTCATTTTTAAATTTGTTAAAGAACTTGACTTGAAGCATAGATAGTACTCAGTGATAGTACACTGTTTAATAGCCCAAGCAATTGCTTCATTACTATTAATAAACCTTAAGTTGTAATAAAGGGTTTCAATGTGGCCTTGGCAATGCGCACCAAAAGTACAAACAGGGACACCATCCATGCGCAACATGGCAATGCTAATACTTTGATATTTTTCAGCTGTTAATGGAATTAGCCTCTCTGAGTGCTACCATAGTTTGGGAAACCTAACTACCAGCCGGCCTCAGAACAATAAAACCGAGTTTTAGAGCTGTACCCTTATTAGGAGATGAATAAAACTGAGTTTTAGAGCTGTACCCTCATTAGGAGATAGAATGAGTTGCCTAGTCATAAAAACAGAGACACAAGCAAAACCCATGCATCGAGTCAAGAAGATCTAGCTTTAACATCCTAAACTGAAAACAATGTATTAAAAATACATTTGCGCCAGCCTACTAAATGAAGAAAGGGTGCGAGGCTGGTCAACAGATAGTATCTGTTTACCCCTTTAGTCTTTGCCTAGGAGGCCTTCTACAAGACAGTAGCCGGGTGCATTTAACATCTGCCAAAGATGAGTAATTTTAACGAGACATTATCTCTAGCCTTTACTCAACCAAGAGCCCCAAGGCAGGAAGTGTTTTATGTCGGAGTTGGCATCTCCTAGCTTTTGCCTAAAAAGGTGTATCCTACAAGACAGCTGGACATAAAGCAGATTGTACTGGGTTACATTTTACCATTAGCAGGATAACCTGACCTGACAAATAAATGTTTAGTAATTACCTAAAGAGTATCCTGAAGTCTATCCTCATGTGTTCTCCCAATAAAGTCTTCGATAAGCTTTATGTGATATTTTACCTAATCATATACCACTGCAAGCTGATTTGCACAAGCAGAGAACTTGACAAATGACTTAAAGGCTCTCTCACTTTCGCAAGCAGCTATAGTTTTCTCCCTCCACAGCAAAAGCTCTTCTTTAGTGGTTTCTAAAATAAATAAAAAAAAGGACAACTTTGCTCAGTGACAAAATCGACATGTGATGACATTGGAACAATGACTGGCTGGATTCCAGGTTTCTTAAGCACCATATGCTCTATTTCTGGAACTGCAAAATACAGCAATTTGTTAAGGATGTAGTTCTTGATGTTGGCATCTAGATTCCTGTCAGCAAGAGACAAAATCACAAGCTGGGAAGCTATATACCAAGTGTGTTGTATTTTATCATACACACATTTTTTTGAAATGTGTGTAACCAATACCTGTCATCTTGACCATGCGTCTTTGAGGCAATGCGCTAGGAATTCAATGTCCTCTTTTCAAGCCTCTTTGTTTCTCATTGGTTCAATCTTTATCAAGTTAAAGATGTTGGCTTTATGAATTGGGAATAAGAAGTTGCTTTCATTTAGAAAGTTGTTTACTTTTTTGCAGTAGCTTCCTTTTGGTAGACTTAGTGTCTTGAGTCTTTTTAGGGATTGGTACTAATTAATCTCCTTATTTCGAGCCTCTTTGTTCCTCATTGGATCACTCTTTATTAAGTTAAAGATGTTGGCTTTATGAATTGGAATAAGAAGTTGCTTTCATTCAGAAAGTTGTTTACTTTCTTGCAGTAGATTTCTTCTGGTAGACTTAGAGTTTTTGAGTCTTTTTAGAGATTGGCATTCATTGACCTTGTTGGTAATCTTATTTCGGATTTGCTGCTCTGTGAATATGAAATTGTTGTTGAATCCAGCTTTGCCCTACAAGTTTACTAGTTCTCTCAAAATGCAAACCGCAATTTATTTACAACTCTGATTGTCTGTTGCCAATTCACTTCACACATTCCTTCTGCTAACTTGCTGCATTTCAAATAATTTTTTCTAGAAGCAAGAGCACATTCAATATTACATTTCATCTTGGTAGTGCTAAGAAAATGTCAAATGGTTAAGTGAAAATAAACAGATAAGATTCAGAAGTTTTTCAGATGTTACCTAATTTCTTTTCTAATTTTGAGCCAGTAAAACCCTCTGTGCATTTCTCCAGTCGTTAAAAGGAGATTTGGAGTAAGGCCTTGCAGTGGAAAGCCTAACAAAAACCATTGTCTGAAAATATAGCTATAACAGTACAGTTTATTAATTTATATATATTTATAAATTTATAGTATCAAATATAGCTTACAGTACAGTATTTGTTTTGTAAGAGCAAATAATACTATTAAAAGATACTTTTTTTGCCAAGCAAAAAAAATTAGTATTATACACAGCATACACATGTTATTTTTTCTTATAATTATCTACAATTAAAATTGTTTAAAAAGTCTCAAACTATTTAAAAACAAACTTTAATGAAATGAAAATTTACTTATTAAGTAAAACTTTTATATATCCATGCGCAATCTTTTAACTTAAATTTTAATGGTAGGAGAATTAGCAAACTAATATATATATATTTTTTTTATGTCTTAATAAATTTATTTAAAATTATTATTTTTTAATGATTTTTGTTATGTATTATAAAAAAAAATATATAAATTACAAATAAATAATTATATAAATAATTTTAATAAAACATTTAAATAAAAAAAAATGTGTGTGCTAAATTCTCCTAAAATTCTCTTAATATAAAAATCGTTATTATAAAATAATAAATTTAATTTGCAATAATTGGCAATACAATATTTTATTATATAGAAATTGCCTAAAACCACCCACTTTACCTTAGAGTTGATTTGGAAGGTTAAAATTTTCACTATAAGCTACTAATGCATAATGATAACGATTGAACTTTTCCACATTTTGGTTTTCGAAAAAAAAGATTTAATGAAACTTCCATATATATATATATATATATATATATATATATATATATATATATATATATATATATATATATATATATATATATATATATATATATATATATATATATATATATATATATATATATATATATATATGTATATATATATATATATATATATATATATATATATATATATATATATATATATATATATATATATATACATATATATATATATATATACATATATATATATATATATATATATATATATATATATATATATATATATATATATATATATATATATATATATATATATATATATGTATATATATACACGCACACACTTAAATTTAGAAAAAACAATTTTTAATGGAACTTAAAGTTTCATGCCTATTGGCAATATCAGCCATGAAGCACAAAATGAAAAATATAAAAAACTGTTTAAAAATTACAAACTATAGTAGAATGAGTTCTGATGTTATAGTACAAGTAGATGTAATGGAAAACTAATCTCCGCTATCAAATAATGAAAAGAGAAATTTATTTTTGTGCCTACATTTAGAAACTAATTCACCTCTTTTGTTATAAATATCTAAATATAAGTATAAAATGCTCTGTTTTTGAAAAAATATATATTTATTAAATATTAAGCACTCTACAACGATTAAGAGTTTAGTATTTTCAATATTAAATCATACAACAACTATATATATATATATATATATATATATATATATATATATATATATATATATATATATATATATATATACAGGCTTCGGCAGGAATGACGGGCTATAGCCCGTGTCCGTCTCCGCACCCGTCTAAGTCAGTTTAGACGGGCGAAATAAAGCCCGTCTGAAACATAAGTTTTGTGTAAAAAAAAAGATGAATATTTTGATGTTTTTTTATTAAGATACTCTTTTAAAACTTCTCTCATGACATAATTTTAATATGGATAGCAAACTCCAACTTATAATTGTTTATATTTAAATATAAAAATTAAACAATTTAATCATTATTGTATAACATGATGTAGAAAATAATATAACTAAGTCTTACAGTTTTTTAAACGACGATAACTGTTTGATATAATACCAAACAGTTACCATATTATGTTCAAAATTTAATAACAATTATATTAAATAGGGAAATATACACATGTGATGCACAAGAAGTATCATGTTGTTTTGGTTTTTCAATTTTTATAAAAATAACGATAATAAACTAATTATCCATGTATTTCGCTTTTTTCCGATAAACTAGTTTGTCTTACTTTAAAGACATTTAAAGTGATATTTCCGCGTTAACTTCACGTTTTTTCTTAAAGAGACGGCGGTTTATTTAATATGCAATTATATAACTCGTTATTGAAAAAAGAATTGCTTCGCGAGTTAAAAGGTCTGGCAAAATCAAAAGCATTAGCATTTATAGAGGGCACTACGAACGTTAAAGCTAGCAACATACATACGCTTATATACATGCTTATATTGTATATAAAGTAACGGAAGCCCCGGTATCTTAAGAAATTATTAGTACTTCTAAATAAAAACTTATTTTATTAAAAGAAATTAGATTTCAAATTTTTTATTCACATATCAGAATAACTATTTCCGATCAGGATAGGCATAGGTAAAGCAAAGTTATAAAAATATAAATAACAGTTTAAGTTTTTAATTTGCACGCCCAATAGAATGCAAGAGTATATAAATAATTGAATTTGAAAAATAACATAGTTACGTATCATATTACCAAGCTAATACCAAACAATTCTAAAACTACCGAGCTCATTGATTCAAGGTTAAAAAAAAAAAGGTTTCAAACTATTTGCTGAATAATTAAAAAAATTAGATTTTGAAAATATTATGTAATATTTTTATTCACAAAGAATAAGAGATACGAATGAACTAAAAAAGCACGATAAAAACCTGTATAATTTAATCGAATACTTGAATAAAACAATAATATATAAATATACTCAAAAAGACTTCGGTAAAAAAACACGTTAGGATGCTTGAATAAGGAAACGTGATGAAACGCCATGGTTGTTTCGAGGATTTTTCCCGTCGCTTTCACGTTTATTCGTTTGACTATATCTGCCAGATATTATCTGGAATAAAGATTTAAAAAAAAAAACATAAAAAACTGAATAAAGTTCCTTCGAGTAAGAAATCTAAACAAAAGCAACCATAAAACAACTAACCCACGTGAAACGAAATTAGATCTGTGCAAGTGAAAACTTTGAAAAACAATTATTGAAATCTTAGTTTTAAGTATTATCCAACTCATTTACTGCAGTGTTTTAATTACTTAAGTAATTAAGCATTTTAAACAGTTAATCGCTTTCTAACATGTTATTTTAGTGCAATTCACAAAATGTTTAATATTCAATGACATTTTTATTCAAAAAGAAGAAGAGAAATTAACAAATTTAAAAAAAAAAAAGTTCAAACTTTAGAAATTTTTTTAAAGTTTAAAAAAGCCCGTGCAAGACCATCTAGACGGGCGGCCCTCATAGCCCGCCAAGTCTATTTAAGACGGGTTTTTCATAGCCCGTACGGTTTTTATTCCTGCCGAAGCCTGTATATATATATATATTCTGAGTCAAGTTTAAAAAAAACTTTAGAACAATTCTTTGTAAAAAAATAAACAAACAAAAAATAATAATAAAGCAATTAGATCATGGGAAGATTTAATTCAACTTATTCATAATTTAAGGTAACTTTAAAAAAAATCTTTTAAAAGATTTTTCAATAGACATGGAAAATAGTTTCAGTTTTCATTTTAAGTTTATCTTAAAAAAATATACCTACTAAAAAAAAATTAAATGTACACATAATTGATTTATTTTAAAGTATCATTATAATTAATTTTTTATTTTCTTTAAAGCCTTACCATAAATAAAAACTTTAAAAAAGATCAACTATTAAAAGTTATTTGTTTTGTAGCAATTTTTTTTTTTTGATATTTTTTTTTTTTTTTAATTTTTTTTAAAGATTTTAATTTAATTTAAAAAGAATTTTTTTTTTTTTCAAATTTTTTTTCAAATGACACTTTAAAAATACAATCTAAATAAGTCCTCTTTGTACATTTTCAGCAGTTACAGTTTGTGATCGCACGTCATTCCTGTCGAAGTTTGATATATATATATATATATATACAACCATTGGAATTCAGAAAAATAATCTCCGCTATCAAACATCAGGTTGACAATAATTTCCCGACCTCAATTAAGAGGTCGGCATCAGGTCGGCAAAAATTATTTGATACAAAGGTCTGACCATAAAACATAGAAACGAGGTTGGCAATTTATGGCGACCTCAAACACTTTCAGGTCGGCATTGCCGAATGCCAACAATAATTCCAAGGGTTGTATATATATAATATATATATATATATATATATATATATATATATATATATATATATATATATATTAAATACTTAAATACTTTGTAATTCAATATAAACTAATAAAGTTTTCAAAAATTAAACTCAATAAAAGTTTAGGTCTATCTAAAAAAGTATACAATATTGAATTGAAATTATTTTATTAAAAAAAAAAATCTGCGATAAAATAATTTAAAATAATAACGGAAGAAACTACATCTTCAGTAGACTATTGTTAAATAAACTGAGTAACATGACACAGATTTCGAGTGCATAATTTTGTTCTGTAAAACTGTAAAAATTATATTTTAAAAATTTGATCGGCCACTGTCCGACCCCAAAAAAGTTTCGATCTGACATTTTGTCTGGGGCTTTATAAAAAATTAAATTCAGCCATTTTAAATATAGTATCAAGGAGAAATCTAATACTATCAAAAGCAAAGCTATTAGGTGAGAGAGAAAGTTAAATAAGTAGTTTTATTTCTCCTAATCTAACTGGAAAGAATGGAAAATTCTGAATTAAGGAAAAAAAATAAATTGAGCAGTGAAAGACAACTCAATGCTACCTTAAAATATGTAATCCATGGAAGTGCTATTGTCAAGTTCAAAATCCAAGAGAATTAATAATCAATTTTAGACTTCACTTCTTAAATTTATATATATATATATATATATATATATATATATATATATATATATATATATATATATATATATATATATATATATATATATATATATATATATATATATATATATATATATATATATGTATATATATATATATATATATATATATAAAAATTGATCTCAATAAAAAAAGCAGCGTATAACTTTTTTTTAAATATATTTTGATATAATGATATATTAACGATATTTTGCTGACCTATTGTTGTCAGCATCATCAGGTAATGAAAAAACGTTACAAAAAAAAAAATTTGTGACGTTTTTTCATTACCTGATGATACTGACCACCATAGGTCAGCAAAGTATCGTTAATATATTATTATATCAAAATATATTTAAAAAATAGTTATATGCTGCCTTTTTTATTGAGATCAATTTTATATTAACATATATTCTATATTTATATATTATAAACATATTGTATAACAAGAAATGACTTTTAAAGATTATATATATATATATATATATATATATATATATATATATATATATATATATATATATATATATATATCAGGGCTTGTGACGAATAAAATCGTCAAGCATGTTATATCGCGCTCGTAAAATTAAAATATGTTTTCATCGAGCATGATTATGTGCGCTCGAGATAACGTCGACGAGCGCGATCATGAAAATTGCTGAAGAAGATCTTTTTTTATTTGTTACATCATTCTTTCGTCGACAAATGTTATAATTAGTATCACACTCATGAAATAACACTCTTGTATATTGTCAGATCGGGATTTTTTTTTAACTATTTATGTTATAAAAAAAAATATATCAAACAAAAACGCAACTTGTTGATTTAGTATTGAAGTATAATTTAGTGACTTTTTTATAATTTAGTGCCTTTTTTTGTTTCGTTGTTTTGATATATGTATTTAAAAATAGTTTTTATATTTCTTGATATTTTTTATTCAAATTAATTTAATTCTAAAATTTCTTTTTTAAATTACGATTTTTTTATCTTAAAAAAATAACACAAGAAAGTTTGAAAATCTTTTTTTTTTAAACTATTCATTATAGGTTAAATAACAGATTTTCCCCTCAACTGTTGTCAACGGTGTTTCCTCTTCTACATTTTCGAAACTGAATGCAGCTAATTCGTCACTCATATCTTCATCAGCACTGTCTATTTCATCATCTTCATCAAAAATTTGATTTGTAATCAATGTTGTTGCTGGTGTCCTATAGTCAACTTGATTATCATCAACTTGAACCACTCGTCTCTTATTCAAATAAATTTTTTTTGCTCGTATTTTAATCAGGATTATTTCTTCCTTTGACCAGCTTCCATGGTTTCCTAATATCATAATGCTATCACTTAGAGTGTCATGATTCATAGATAAACGTTGATCTGACAATATGCTAGTTACTGTGCTAAACATTCGCTCCACGCTTGAGTTTGATCCGGAAATTGCGAAGATAATTGATATAACTTTTAATAAATTTGGAAACTTAGACTTTTTATCACAAGTCTTATATACGCTTCATCCGTTGAAACTTTTAACGAAGACGATATTGACGCTTGTATCTTAGAAGCAGAAGAATATCACAATTACAAAAATACACTGTTTCCTCAATATAATATGTTTTATAAACATCGATTTCATTTAGTTTTTTTAAAGGAAAAAACTTTCGAGCTTTTTTAACTAATATTAATTACAAGTTGTTGTTTTTTATAAGAAACCAATCAAACGGTTAGTACTAAAAAGTTTCTAATTTTGAGCATACTTTTTTCTAAATCTAGTAGTAAAAGTTTATTAAAAGTTTCTATAATTTCAAGTTTTTATTCCTAATCAAATTCAATTCAATTCGATTGTGCGTGGAAATTAAATTCTCATTGTAACTGTTGTTCTCCATTGTTGATAATATTAACTTCGAGTAATGTTGATGAGATATTTAGGGGAAAAATGAGCAAATATTCATCAAACTTATAAATAAGTTTCTTATTGAAAAGTTACTTAGTACTAAAAATTTCTTAAAATTTTAAGGCTCCTAGTACTAGTTTCTTATTAAAAAAAACGTGTAATTTTTTCTGACTTTTTTTAATGTTACAGTTGAATGAATAATAAAAAAGAGTTAACAAACTTTAATTAATGCAACGTTAGTTATAAATGTTAGTTTCATCTGTGTCATTAAAAAAATAACTTTGAAAAAAAAAAGAATGCTGTTGTTCAAAAAATAGTTTGTTCTTAGTTTAATCAAGTTTTTTTAGGTTTAATTTTTTTTCTTTTGTTGACAAACTTTTTTTAGGTTATTATTTTTTTTATTTTTCTTATAGTTTAGTTTAATATTTTCAGCACATTTTAAAATAATTAAATATCAACATTTAACATAAACATCATCAAGCATTTGCAAATGTGTAAATGCTTAATAGCCATATCATCAAAACAAAATATGAGGCGCCTCACAGGAAAAGGTAAGAAGTGAAAAAAAGTTAACGAGTGAAAAAAAGTTAATGAGATAATGATCTGTAAAGAAAGTAATCTCTATATATTATTATCTTTGAAATCTTTATTGTTAAGATAATAATTTATTAGTTACCTTTGAGGATTTTGTATTTTGTATTCCATCGGTTGACGTAACACATCGCTCATTTGAGGGTTTCTCGCTTTCACACCTTATTGCAGTAATGTGAGAAGCTGATTCCAAATGTCTTTGAATTGTGTGGATCGACACAAAGTTCGTCCCATCAATAAACCGTAAAGCATATTGTCGTATCAAACTTTTACAACCTTGTAATACCGCTTCTCTATTTCTTGTACAAACTTTGCAGTAAATTTCAACAACATATGTAGTTCTGCTGGTAACTTCAGTTCTAAAGCCTATTACCTCTTGAACTTTCCATTTAATAAATGTTGACAACATTACTTTGTTTCCTTTTGGAATTTCATTGATTGCGGACATTCTAAACAACAGAATCGTTTTAAATTTGAGTTAAAATAAATTATAATTAATAAAAAACTTATACTATAAACAAAAACTAATTTAAAAAATTACTGAATCATTATTATTTATTTTTATTATAAACGATGTATGGAATATTACAAACAATAAATCAAATAAATCTTACTTGATGTTTTCACAAGATTAAAAATATTCTGCAGTTTCAATTTTCTTATAATGGTTTTCTAATTTTTTATTATTTTATTTGTGCATTTTTGTATTTGCATTGAATTTCTACATGCACATTCCATCAATGAAATTAGTGCCTATTAACGACTTCAAACTGCTCATTCGTTAGGTTAGTGCAAAAAAGAACGACGTAGTGCTTTTTTTATTTTATATTATATTAGTGCTTCGATAATATAAAATCTTTATTAAAAAATCTTTTTTTCATATTTTATGAAAATAAAAAAAAAAGTTATTATTTGTTTTGCCCCGAACTCTTGGACAAGCGTTATTTTATACGCTCGTTATAAGCTGAATGAGCATTGTTTATCGCGCCTGGAATGTTTCAAAATGCCATTTACGGGCGCGTTTCACGAGCGGAGCGCGCTTGATTCATCACAAGCCCTGATATATATTCATACATATATGCATATATATTTCAAAAAGATATATAAAGTAATCTAAAATAGCAGTATGAAGTTTAACTTGATTTAAATATATTTCTGTTTTCATAGGAACTTTAGCTGGTGGCACAGACCAAGGGCATGTTGCTCTATGGAAGTACAACTCATTAAAAAATGATGATCAGTTATGGGTTTTACAACCTCCATCTGAGGTTGTTGGAAGTGTTACTCATCTTGAAGTAAGTATAATCCAACCTTTAATTTTAAATAAATTTTATAAGTTTGTTTTTACAAGTAATGTATAAATTCTCAATTCTTACATTCAACTTTTTTACAAAATAAGAAGCATAGTGTTTAGTTTTTTATTTAGTAGAAAAGAACACTAATATACTGTTAATTTTGTAGAAAAGAACATTAATATACTGTTAGTTTTCAAATGCCAAGTTTTAATGTTAAAATTGAAATAAAACTACCTTATTCAATGAAATTTATGAAAAGAACTTGTATATTTATGTAAATGAGATTTGTATGAAAATCATTAAAAGCAGTAGAAACTGGTTAAACCGTTTGGCTATTTATCTAGAGATTTTAAAACTCAAAATAGTTATCTAGAGATTGTTAAAACTCAAAATAGTTTTGACAACTATTTTGAGTTTTGACAACTCAAGATAGTTGTCAAAACTCAAAATTGTGCCTTAAATTTAGTATGCACAATATATACCCTAAAAAAAAACATTTTGAAAATTTTACAAATATATTTGAAAATGACAGTTTAAAAATAAGCAATAGTTATTTTTTTAAAATTGTAAAAATTATAAAGTCATATAACTAACCCCAGTCCATTATAGATTATTAACAAACTTACTTCTATTTTCTAGTGGGGTGCCAGTCTGGGGCTAATAGCTGTCAACTGTGTATCTTCGGTTACAATACTAAACAAAGCAACCATGAGTTATAGTTTCAGTGGAAATGTAAGTGTTTTATTATTTTTAAAACATAGGTTTACAAGAACTATTAGTGAAAGTCTTTTTTAGTAATAGCAAACTTAAAACATTTTATTTTTTATTTATGTAGTTCTTCCATTTTTAGATAGCCGCTGTTCAATTATCACCTGCTCATCTCCTGATCAAGTTTTTTCCATCTTTGCATGTGGAAGATTTAAAAACAGATATGCACATAAAGGGTGTGCACTGTAATAAGGTATCATTTAAAAATTTTATATTTATTACTGATGTTCTTTTTATATTGCTAATTTAAATTTTATTTATCCTTCTTTGAATTTTACTTTAAAATATTTAAAATCAATCATTTTATTTCTATGGAATTATTTTTAGAATCATGCTGCAATATGGAATGGCAAAAAAGTTGCAATTTATGAGATACCTGAAAATAAATCTTTTATCAGATCTGCTCGTACTTTTTCAATATTGTCTTATTGGCATATCTGTACACCCTCCCCTATACAAATTTTAATGCTTTCATAATAGTAATTTTCTTTTTCTTATGTAATTCTTTTTTTTTTCATAGGAAGTTTTACTTGCGATGCCCACAAAGTTGCAGTGTATGAACAGAATGTCTATTTGATTGATTCACATTCGATATCAATTAGAACTTTTCAGGTAGTGAACATTTTCAGGTAGTGAACATTTTTAGGTAGTGAACATTTCAATTAATGATCATTTTTATTATGTAAACATTTTCAGATAATGAACATTTTCAGGTAGTGTTATACTCAAGCTGCTTTAAGTCCTTTCAAATCATTTCATTACACTTTCATGTTTCTTTAACTAGGGTACAGTAAAACAAGAACTTACATTCCTGGAAAAAGAAGGTGACCCTCTTGATTTGAATATATGCGGATCTCATATGGTAATTGCAACAAATAGAGGTGTACTTAAAATATATGATCTGTCACGGAGGTAAGTTTTAATATGATAATTAGCATTAGTATATTTATGCAGCATATTTTCATTTTAACACAATTTTTAGAGAAGCACGCCAAGTAAGTGTCACCAAGCACTTGGAAGATTGTATTTCAAAACTTGGAAAAATTCATCTGATCAAAATTAATTGCAACGGCACAAAAGTTGCTGTATTGTCTCAGAATGTATGTAAACATATGAATTTAATATTTATTGTATTGTGTCAAAAATGTGTGTAAATGTTTGAATTATATTTTCATTCTGTCTCAGAAGATACATAAATGCATATTTTGTTCTAAATCTAAATTTCGAAGTTTCATGTTTCACAAGTTGTTTGGATCTACATGTTTGTAAAAGATTAAAAAATACACTATTTAGTTGGAAATAAAAACTAAATGGAAAAGATGTTTTTATTTGTATAAAAAATAAGAGAAGAATAGTGTTGTATCATTCTATGTTAAATATTTATAAAAGTTCTTTTAAAAAAATGTTGGTTTTTAAGCTAAATGGAAATTTGTTGTACATATATTAGGCAATTTTTATCCTTTGACCTTCAGAGGTATTGTTTCCTTGCTACTTTTAGTTTTACTCTAAAAAGACCAGATTAAGCCATCTGGTCATTGATCAAAGATGAATTAAAAGCTAACAACAAAGGGGTCGACCACAAATTAGGTCATGCAATTTTTGACCGTTTTTTATTTTTATTTTTGCAAATAATTTAGTTGAATAATGTATGAGTCAGGTTCGTGATTTTTTTTTAGGGAGTAAAGCAATAGAGTTTTTTTTTGCTTGATTATCTCAAACATTAGCTTAAAAAAATTGAGCTTGCCTTATTTATGCTGATACATGAAGTCCTAACTTGTTGGTTTAATTGTTGGTTAATTAATTTTAAAATCTTTTAATGTTATGATTTTTTTTTTCCTTTCTATTAATGTCACCATAATATGAGTTTTTTATTTGTAATTCAATTGATGTCGCCATGTTATTAGTTCATTTCATTTTTTCATCTTTCATTGGTATCACCTTGTTATACATTCATTTCACTTTTTCATCTTTAATTTACCTCACCAAAACATGCTTTTTTTTCATGTTATTGTTTTTTTTTTCTTTTAATTAACCTCACCATCTGGAAGGTCAATTTTTAATGTTAATGTCAGTTTTGGTTTAGGTTCTCAAACTTCTAAATAAAATGTGTCAAGCATTTGATATGACAGACAGAAATAAATAAAAGACAGTCGAATAAAATTTGCCAAAAAGATGACAAAAGTTGATCATTTAACAATATGCAATACTATTGCAAAGTCTTTAAAATTTAATTATTTTTAATTAAATTTTGGAGACTTTAGATTATTTAATAGATTTTAATTGCTTTAAGTAATTAAACTAAGATTTGTTTTTTGTGCTAAAGTTGTTGCTTTTATTGTAAGTTGTTTGTTAATATTAGTTTTAGATGATTAAAAATCTGAACAAATGACTAGAATTTTAAAAATGCATGAAAATAAAACCAAACCCTTTGATTTGTTTGGGAAATAGGTTTTAGGAAATAATTTAATAAATTTTTCTTGCTGAAAAAAAGTGTAACTGAAGTAAAGATTAATAATAGTCTTGATGAAATTGTCATTAGAGACTATTATCATAAGACTGTTACACATTAAAGAAGACAATCAAATTTTTGATTTTGAAAATTCTGAATAATGTAATAAAGTATTAAGCATATTGTTGAATAGCAATAATGCAAATAGAAGATATTTTATGATAAATCTTTTGAAGTTGATGGTTGTTTTTGGATGGTGACGTTTTTGATGTGTTTTTTTAAACAGCTTGAAAATCTTTATATGAACTAAAACTTTAAATGAATTAAAACTTTTCAAATACAATAGAGCTGGTTGAATTCCAAGTGATAGAATTAACATAATTATGTAAAAAAAATTACCAATTTTTGTTTTTAATTGGATATGACTCAAAGAACTATTTCCTAAAACTTATCTTTTCCTATGAATATTATTAATACAGTGATTAAAAATGAACGTATTATATTGTTTAAAGTTTACAATCAACAATAGGTCAGATATGTAAATACAATTTTGAAAACAAAATTACTAAATCTTTAAATATTGAAAAATTAAGATTCAATTAAAAAAATTTTAATTAAGAAGTGTTCTGTTTTCTTAACAAAAAGATTTATTTTTATAAAATTCTTAAAAAAAAATTTTATTATCACTTTATTGCTACGAGCAATTTATTTTTAAATAAAAATTAGTGTAATTTTTTTCTCACACAAAATATATTGCATAAATGTCTGGTACCATGAGATGAGCATACAAGCACATTAAATATTTTGCATAGATGTCTGATGCCATGAGATGAGCATACAAGCACATTAAATATTTTGCATAGATGTCTGATACCATGAGATGAGCATACAAGCACATTAAATATTTTGTATAGTTGTCTAGTGACATGAGATGAGCATACAAACATATTAAAAATTTTGTATAGATGTCTGGTGCCATGAGATGAGCATACAAGCACATTAAATATTTTGCATGATGATTAGTGCTATGAGATGAGTATACAAGCATATAAAATATTTTGCATAGGTGTTTGGTGCTATGAGATAAGCATACAAGTACAATAAATATTTTGCATAGATCTCTGGTGTTATGAGATGAGCATACACCACATTAAATATTTTGTTTAGATGTCTGGTGCTATGAGATGAGCATACAAGCACATTAAATATTTTGCATAAATGTCTGATACCATAAGATGAGCATACAAGCACATTAAATATTTTGCATAAATGTCTGATACCATAAGATGAGCATACAAGCACATTAAATATTTTGTATAGTTGTCTGGTGCCATGAGATGAGCATACAAACATATTAAACATTTTGTATAGATGTCTGGTGCCATGAGATGAGCATACAAGCACACTAAATATTTTGTATAGATGTCTGGTGCCATGAGATGAGCAATACAAGCACATTAAATATTTTGCATGATGATTAGTGCTATGAGATGAGCATACAAGCATATTAAATATTTTGCATATGTGTTTGGTGCTATGAGATAAGCATACAAGTTCATTAAATATTTTGCATAGATCTCTGGTGTTATGAGATAAGCATACACCACATTAAATATTTTGTTTAGATGTCTGGTGCTATGAGATGAGCATACAAGCACATTAAATATTTTGCATAAATGTCTGATACCATAAGATGAGCATACAAGCACATTAAATATTTTGCATAAATGTCTGATACCATAAGATGAGCATACAAGCACATTAAATATTTTGCATAAATGTCTGATACCATAAGATGAGCATACAAGCACATTAAATATTTTGCATAAATGTCTGATACCATAAGATGAGCATACAAGCACATTATATATTTTGCATAAATGTCTGTTACCATAAGATGAGCATGCAAGCACATTAAATGAAAAGATATTTAAGACTCGCAATTTTGCAAAAATTCAAGATCCACAATAATAAAGATAAAAATCACAATAACGGTCTGTTTTTTTCAATATCCAGCCTTTATTAGAAACATTTGTTTAAAACATTCTTTTTGTATTTTTTTGATATTTCTAGTCTCCATTCTTTTTGTTTGGATGTTTTTTAAATTAGTTTATAAAGATTTGCTTTTTTTACTAGAGCAACTATATCACTACCCCTATTTTGTATGTGTGGGAAGTAGAGAGTGATAAAATTCAATCTTTTAATTTTATGTCTGGAGAAAGTAACTATGAATTACTTGATGATTTATTAACTACACAACAACAGCTAACAGATGCTATCAAAGGTTTTTACTACATTTATGTTTTGTTATGTATTTAGATTAAAGTTGGGGTTGGGGGGCAGCAGGGTTTTGTATATTAAGTAGAAAGTAGTATTAGGCAAGTGCACACATCTACTGATGGGTTTAGAGTGTTGACAATTAATATCTATGTATAAAAATAAATTTTTTATGGCAAAGTTATATTGCATATATTAAAAGACAATTTAACTTAAACCTTCTGAATAAAGTTTTCCTTTAACAAAGTTGTTGAATGTTTGAATAAATCCATAAAATGTAATTTTTTTTTCAGTAGCTGGTCTAAATGCTTTAATGGGCTTATCTTATTTCGCACTGTGTACCCAAAAATACATCATATATATTTTTAATCATTTATTATGTTTTAGGTTATGTGCCTAAATCAGTATTTTGGGATTCTATTGAGCCAAAACTTTTAGTATGTGAGACAGTTCGAATGAGTTCTATTAACCAAGAAGAAACAAGTATTCAAAAAGATCTTTATGATGATGTAATTTTTAGAATTTGTTATTCCCTATCTTAAAATATTGCTTTTATCTTTAGGATTTGTTTTTTATTTTCTCCTTTTTATCTATTTTATTTTTATTTTTTAATTCTTTTGATGTTTTTCAAAAATATTAAATTGTTTATTAAATTTACTAATGGAACTATTATAGAGGGTTAAATTATTTGAAAATAATTTTTTAATATTTTTTTGACTTTAGAGTTTATCATTAATTGTCACAATGTTTAGCTGTCCAGAATATGGCTTGGTTGTTCAAGATCATTTTAAAATGGATCCTAGTTATACTGGTAGCTTTTTATTCATTTTTTTTTAATTTTATATTGTAAAGCAACATATACATACATACATACATACACATACATACATACATACATACATACATACATACATACATACATACATACATACATACATACATACATACATACATACATACATACATACATACATACATACATATATATATAAATATATATATATATATATATATATACATATATATATATATATATATATATATATATATATATATATATATATATATATATATATATATATATATATATATATATATATATATATATATATATATATATATATATATATATATATATATATATATACTGTTGAAATACAACTCTAGTCTGTTTAAAAGTGATCAGTATCTTTTTTCAAAAAATAGATAAAACTATATTAAAGGTATTAGAGGTATAAAAATTTCTTGCTATACCAAAAAATGCTACAGGGGCAGGAAATCTAGTTACCTAGCTAACTTGTTTTTTTGAAAAAAAAAGTTCAAAAAAATCTACTATGATTGCTTGTAGGCACCTCATCTATGAGGTATTGGTTAGAGATGTTTTCAAAACAATATTTGGTCTGAAAACTGATTCAAATGTGTTCATTTAATCTAGGTTATTCAAGTCCAAAACTTTATAATTTAATAAAATAATTATAAAGTATATTAGATAAATAATATTGTGGCCCTGAGGATAGAGTTTCACCTACATTAGTCCACTACTTAATTTTAATATGATCTTGCAACGTGATTTTTTTTATCTTTTTACATATTTAAGTACTTTGTCTTTGTTTTGTTTACACATTGCCTTGTTTTGTTTTCATTAATTTTGTTGTTGATTTTATTATATTTTTTACATTTATTATTTTGTTTCAACATCAATAATAAATAAACGCCTGTAGCTTGATCGGTGTCATTGTTTTGTTCTGAACATCTGTTCAAAATTTTTTTCATTTTTTTAATCTTATTCTCTTTCTAATTTTTCTTTATTTAACTTGGGTTTGATAGCTCGTTCTAGTCTTTTGATGTATATTTTTGCTTTTTTTTTTTTGTATTAAACTATTAAACTCTATTTAAAAAAATAATGCGCACAATCTAATGGGCCATTTATGCATTTTTTTAAATTATAAAGTAGAATGTTTACCTCGTTGAAGCAGTTTAGAATACTGTCAGTTAACATTTTTAATAGTAAGTTTTATATGCAACAAATGTTATTAGAAACCTTTTAAACAGAAAAGTTGAAAATAATTGTTCTATACTTTTTTAATTTTGAAGCTTTTTAACTATAACATTTTACAAGAAGATAATAAAATAATGTTTACCTGCTGACTGCTAATTCTTTATTGATGACATTTATTTTAGATTAATGTGTAATTCATACATTTTTAAATGTTTATTTTTTAATTATACAATATTTACTTTTTTCATGCATAAATATAGTTTTTTTTTTTTTTAATTTGTTCTTATTATTTATTTTCTACTTTTTTATTCTCTTCCATAGTTAGGTTAATCATTTTTATGCCTTGGTAATTAGTACTTTAATGAGTTAATTTCAAATTATTGTTGTTAGTCTAAGTTGTTGTTGGTAGTGTAATTATTTGAAAAAGTTTAAAAGATTATTTTGAATAATTTTTTTTTTTTTATTTACAGGGTTATTAGGGATGGATACACCTTTTTGTTACTTCATTCAATCAGTATGTTATTAAAAGCAAGATTTTTTTATCGTATTAATTTTTCAAGTTAATATATTTGACTTTTTCATTTTGATTTCTGTTTAAAAAGATTAATTCTAAATAAGTTCAGTAAACAATTACATGACAGGGTCAGCATAGAGATCAATGTGTGGCAAGAAAAACAATGCGTGACTTTGTAGAATTTGAGAATGGCGACCAGGTAACTAAAGCAGCCATGATGAGTTACAGCTATTTATCTGCAATTGGTAATATGGATGAAGCTTTTAAAGCTATTAAGTCTATTAAAAGGTACATTTTTTTATTTATGCTGACATTTTTTTTTAAACTTAAAGATCCTATAAAACCATGCCAAAATTTGTTTTGTAAAATATCTTTTTGCTCCATAGTATTTTTTATATTCTTAAGTATTGTGTAGTTTAGATAGCACAACATTAGGAGCTTTTGTTTTTCCTTCTAAAGATTATATGCAGGTTAGACATGGTGTAAAAACTCGGTAATTGTTACATTGTTAGATTTTTATCAGTTAGTAGTTTTTATAATTTTTTTTTCTTTGAAAAAGTTAATATTTAACCTTTTTTTAATTAATTAAAGTAGAACAGAATAGAATAAGATAAAGAATATAATGAAATAGTTATGACATTGTTTATAATTTGTTTTTAATTAATTTATTGAATAAACTTTTTACAATTATATTTTTTGATTATTTGTTGAGAATTATTTTCTGAGTAAAATGATGTAACATTTTAACACAAAATAATTTTTTTTTTTGATAAATTGTTAAATTTTTAGTTGCATAAAAGTAGCCATCAAAGAACCTTTAAATGTTACACAATATTAGTTACATTGTATAATATTTAAATGTTATACAATATTAGTTGTTTTACAATTATAATCAATGCAATGATATAATATATAGGTTTATAAAAATACAATATAGGTTTATAAAAAAAAAAATGCAAAAACTCAATGAAGACCTTAGGATCTTGTTGTTAAGACCATAAGGGTATTGACAACAAGACCCTTAGCTTTGTTTTTTAATTATATTTGTCACATTTATAGTGTTAAATATATTTTTTTTTTTATAGAAAGTAAAAATAATGTAAAAGAAATAACATTCATATATATAAATATTTAGAAGTGAGTTAGAAAGATTTTACTTGTTGTTCAATTAACTTTTCATTTTAAAGGTAGTATTTGTTTATGTGAGTATAAATTGTAAAAAGAAAAAGGAGAGGTGTTGGTTTTACATTTATATTTAAAGCAAAGAACATTATAAACCTTAGGCTTGTTTACATATATTCATTTTAAGTTAGAGAAAGCTTGGCTTGACTAAAATGGTCTTTAAAGTTTATAAGGTGTGCAGCTTCTGTTGATGATGAAGAGGTTCTTGTATACTTTTGTATACACCAACCCATTATTATATGACAATGAACAAATGAGTAGTATAATTCTACTAGAGTATTTTTACGTAAGAGATTTCTCAAGTTGTATAGCATTCTTATATCTCTAGCTATTTTATTGTTTAAATTGTTAATTCGATTTTTCCACATGAGATTTTCATCAATATAAACATCCAAATTATTTCTAACTTTGGCTCTTTTTATTTCAGTGTTCAGTGTTCAGTGTTCAGTGTTCAGTGTTCATGTTCAGTGTTCAGTGTTCAGTGTTCATGTTCAGTGTTCAGTGTTCAGTGTTCAGTGTTCAATAAACAGAAGAGGAATATTCTGAAGTAGATTTTTTTTTCTGAAATTGGATAAAAGAGTAATCTAATTAATTTTTTTTGATAGAAATCGATAGTCTGTTAAACATAAACCAGTTAGAAATTTCAATGAGTTTACTAATCATTTTGTCAAATAATATTGATAAATTATTGTCAGCTAAAAAAAGGTTTGTGTAATCAGCAAACATATTTGTTGCTAAATTTGATAAATTTGAAAAAGAACGTTAATGTAAATAAAAGCAAAGGTTCTACTTTTAATCCTTTTGGAATTCCCCAGGTTATAAATAATAATTTTGATGATGATGAATCTATTTTTAAAAATTTTTCAGACTTTTAAGAAGCTTTTAAAAAGTAATACATTTCCTGTGATTCTATAGTTAAAATCTTTTTAACTTTTATATAAAGACATTTAATTTTTTAACTTTTATAGTCTATAAAGACATCTAGAGCATATAATGGTTTTTAAAATGAATTTGAAATACTTCTACTTAGTTGAAATGTTGCATGTTCAGCAGAATTATTTTTTTTTTAATCTACATTTATTATTATTAGTGCTGGGCAACGATTAAATATTTTAATCGCGATTAATCGCATGATTTTTTGCGATTAATCACGATTAATCGCAGAAATACGAAAAATTCAATAATAAAACCACAAGTAGTATATATATAGCGTAAATTTATTTTTTCGTAGTTAAATTAACATAACTTTTGGTTTGTCAAAACTTTAAACAATTTTATCCATTCTTCCAACTTTACTTACTCATCTGCACCAAGTCAGTTACTAAGACAAACAAGGTAATTCACATTTTCAGATGATAAAGAAACTCTCTTCTTTTGTACAATATGACCAGCAAGAGAAAACAATCTTTCACAAGGAACAGATGTTGCAGGTGTTGCCAAGTACTTCTGTGCAATTGAGGCCAGCCTGTTGTGTGAGCCTGCATGTTTGGACCACCACTGTAATGGACAGGCCTCTGTACTGATGGTGGGCTCTGCTTTGTACCGACGCACACCGTTTTCAATTGAGTCTTCCTCTTGTTCAGAATCAGACTCTGATGAAGCCACCAATAGAGCAAATTTTCTCTTTGATGGCTTTGATGTTGCTGCTTCCACAGGTTCATCTGCAATAACCCTCTGTCCTTGAGTAAGTTAGCGATTGAGACCCACACCTCACCTCTCTCAACTCTGGGTATACACTTGAGGTCTTTGAATCTCGGGTCCAATGCAGTTGCAATCTTTAGATATGCAATGTTGGCATTTTCCTTGCGTGTTTCCAGATCTATTCTGAACATAGATTTGACTACATAGGCCGGGTCATCATCTGAGCTCTCCATCACCCGAGAGAGATGGCATAAAGCAGGCAGAACCACAGAGCATGAAACGTACTTTTCTTCACCCAGAAGTTCAGTCACATACCTGCAAAAAATAAAACCCATTTCACTCAAATGTTTTGCATTCACTTATACACACAAAAAGTGTTTCATGTTCATGCTTATGCACAAATACAGACACATCAATTCTCTCACATGCAATCAAACCAGTCAGTAAGAAATATATGATGTAAAATATACCTGCAGGGTTCTAGGAGCTTTTCCAACCTCTGCAATTTGTCCATTTCAGCTGGAGTTGGCATAGCAACTTTTGTGTTGTGTGTGGTGAAGACATCGCTCAGTGGCTGTTCGTTTCTGCGAACACTTTTTATCATGTCCAGAGTCGAGTTCCATCTGGTTGGAATGTCTTGTATAAGCGACTCCTTCTTTTGTCCAAGCTCAATTTGTTTTTTTTCTAATTCTGCAGCACTTGCTGGACTGTGTTTAAAATGGCCCACCACCTTTCTGCATTTAGCCAGGGCATTGTCAAACGCGCTGTTGTGCAAAGATACTGTGACAAAACGCTGAAGACTGTGAGCGACACAAGGGACGCGTTCAAAAGGCAGATGTCTTGCAGCAGCGACAATATTTCTAGCACAATCTGTGCTAAGTGTGCTGACTTTATTTAAAATGTCCCACTGTTGTGCAACATGAATGAAATGTTCTGCGCACGTTTCAGCAAAATGTCTTTCTTGTGTCTTCATTACTGTCAAAGCATGTGAATGCAGTTTCCATTGTTCATCAATGTAATGCACAGTTACTCCGAGATAATTATGGTTACCCAGCGATGTCCAGTAGTCTCCGGTGAGGGCAACAGTTTGTGCACGTTGTAATGCCGTTGCCTTTATAGTCCTCTCGTTTTCATACAGTTCATGTATTTTTCTTACAATGGTGCGTCTTGGCGGAGGCTCATACGTGCAGTCATTCGTTGTGATCCGAATAACATTCTTCAAACCGACATCTTCCACAATACTAGTTGGCCTGCAATTTGTAGCTACCCACTTTGCAATGGCATTTGTTATCTTGTCTTTCTTTTGTTTCTCTGTAGTTCTCCCTCGTGCTGCATCTAACGTAGTCTGCCGAAGGTTTCCTCCACTGTTTGTTTGGGTGGATGATTTGTTAGCATCAACGGTGTGCATTGTATTTAAGTGATACTTCAAACTTGAAGTACTCCGATGATAAGAAAATTCCGCTTTGCAGTGTTTACAAATAGCTTTAGTTCTATCTACTCCTTGTTGAAGAGGTTTAAAATAAAAGTGTCCGTTTAAAATTTTGGTACTTTTTTCCATTTTTAAATATTTCTCAATTTACTTACTGCTTGTTGTTTGAGCATAAGCAATAACATAAATACGCATGAAAGTTTCAATTCTTTTATGATTCGATTATTATCGAATTATAAATAATTAAATTATAATTCGATTATTACATAATTTTGAAACAATACAAAATAAATAAACAAAACTATAAATAAACATAAAAATACAAAATGCAAAATAACTTTTTTAATATATTAATACTAATATAAAATGATATAATAATAATTATAAGCAATAATAAGCAAAAAATATAAAATGAGAAACGAAAACTTTGACAGACAGTTTCACAAAAGAAAAATAAAGTTAAGCTTGTGAATCTTAAAAAAAAACGAGCGGCAGAAACTCATAATGAACTCATTGTAAAGACTAATAGGTGGAAAAAAAAATTTCATAAAAACTTAGCAAAAAAATATATTTTTTTACAATAATAAAATCTGGAGATTAATTTTTTAATTTAAATTTA